TCCTCAAAGAACAATTAGGCACACAGAGACGGTTCTCATAGAAGAGAAACCCTTCTTGTCTGTAGTATCGGCCAAAAGCAAACTTAGAACAAGACTTATAGTTCTCAGCAAAATCAGAATCAGAAGCATAAAAGTCTTTTATCTGTTCAATGCCCAAGAGTTTAGCATCAAGAGTTGAGAGAAGAGTGTACCTCCTGGACAATGCGTCGGCTACAACATTGTCCTTACCTTTTTTGTACTTGATGACATATGGGAATGTCTCAATGAATTCAACCCACCTGGCATGCCTCTTGTTGAGCTTCTGTTGGCCCTTGAGATGTTTGAGAGATTCATGGTCTGTGTGGATGACAAACTCCTTTGGCCAGAGATAGTGTTGCCAAGTTTGTAAGGCGCGGACCAAGGCATAGAGCTCTTTGTCATAGGTTGGATAGTTGAGAGTGGCTCCTCCAAGCTTTTCACTAAAGAAAGCAATTGGCTTCTTGTCATGCATCAAGACAGCTCCAATGCCTATACCTGAAGCATCACATTCAATCTCAAAAGTTTTCAAGAAGTCAGGTAAAATAAGAACAGGGCATTAGTCAAGCGATCCTTGAGAGTCTGGAAAGCATCCTCCTGTGCTTTCTCCCACTTGAATCCAACTTCTTTCTTGATGACTTCAGTTAAAGGGGCGGCCAAGGTACTAAAATCACGGACAAACCGCCTATAGAACCCAGCTAGGCCATGGAAGCTTCTGACTTCACTCACTGTCTTAGGACTTGGCCATTCTCTGATTGCTGCAACTTTCTCTTCATCCACCTTGACTCCATCTGCACTCACAACAAAGCCTAGAAAAACCACATTATCTGTGCAAAAAGTACATTTCTTAAGATTGGCAAACAATTTTTCTTTTCTTAGCACAGACAGGACAGATGCAAGGTGATCTAGATCCTCTTCAAGGTTCTTGCTGTAAATCAAGATGTCATCAAAGTAAACCACAACAAAATGACCAATGAAGTTTCTCAGGATATGGTTCATTAAGCGCATGAATGTACTAGGTGCATTAGTGAGACCAAATGGCATGACAAGCCATTCATAAAGACCATGTTTAGTTTTAAATGCAGTTTTCCATTCATCACCTTCTTTCATTCTAATCTGATGATAACCACTTTTTAAATCAATTTTAGAGAAAATGCTAGAACCATGCAACTCATCAAGCATATCATCAAGTCTAGGGATAGGATGTCGATACTTTACAGTGATATTGTTGATGGCTCTGCAGTCCACACACATGCGCCAACTCCCATCTTTCTTGGGCACAAGAAGAACAGGAACAGCACAAGGATTCATGCTTTCCCTGATGTGACCCTTATCCATAAGCTCATCTATTTGGCGCTGGAGTTCTTTGGTTTCCACATGATTGGTTCTGTATGCTGGACAGTTTGGCAGAGTGGATCCAAGGACAAAGTCTATTTGATGCTCAATGCCTCTGACTGGTGGCAATCCCTTGGGACAATCCTCTGGAAACACATCCTGGAAATCCTGTAATAGTTTGGACATCTCACTCGGATTCTCCGGTGCATTATCAATCAAGAGGTTAAATGTTCCTTTAAAGATGAATAAGAGAAAAGGCTTATTAGAAAACATGGAACTTTTAACCTGTTTGGATTTGGCCAGATAGTTCAGGGACTTGTTGGATTTGGTTGGTTCCTTCTTGGCTTGAGGTTTAGTCTTTTAGCCACTCAACTGAACTTGATCTTCATACACCTCTTGAGGGGTTAAAGGAATGAGAGTGGTCTTACGCCCCTTGTGAAGGAAGGTGTACTTGTTTGTAAAGCCATCATGCAGGACACGCCTATCAGATTGCCATGACCTTCCCAGAATGATGTGTCCAGCATCCATAGGCAAGACATCACACACAATCTCATCCTCATAGCTTCCTATAGATAGTGGCACGACCACTTGCTCCTTCACACTCATATCTCCAGTCTCATTGATCCACTGCAGCTGATATGGCTTAGGATGCTTCTGAGTCACAAGACCAAGCTTCTCAACCATGGCCTCACTAGCCACATTAGTGCAACTACCTCCATCAATGATTAAGCTACAAACCTTCTCCTGGACAAGACAGCAAGAATGGAATAGGTTTTCTCTTTGCTCTTCCTTGTGTGTTTGGACTTGAGCGCTCAAGAGTCTCCTGGCTACCAGAAGCTTTCCCTTGACAGGCACAGCTTCATACTCCTCTGGCTCTGGCTCTTGCTCTGGCTCTTGCTCTGGCTCTAGATCTTCTTCCTCAGACTCCACTTCGCCATTATCTCTTATGAACATGATTTTCTTGTTGCGGCATTTATTGGCATAGTGTCCAAAGCCTTGGCATCTGAAGCACTTAAGCTCGCGGGCTCTGGGGGCAGAGGTTGTACTGGACTTGTTCTTATCCTTGTCCTGGTTGTAAGGAACTCCTCTGGGCTCTGTCTTTGGTGTGAAGGCCGGTTTGGAGTCTCTGGCGTAGACTGGCCGGCGCTGATCAGTTCCATGTCTAGTTGGCGATCTCCTCTTGAGTTGGGTTTCGGCCAGAACTGCTTTGTGTAGCATAGACTCCAAGGCCACACAATTTTGCATCTCCACAATATCTTGGATTTCACGGTTGAGCCCTCCAAGGAACCTGGACATAGTAGCTTCTCTGTCCTCAATCACATTAGCCCTTAGCATCATTACTTGCATCTCCTGGAAGTATTCTTCAACTGTCTTGGACCCTTGAGTGAGCCTCCTGAGCTTAGAATGTAGCTCTCTCTGGTAATAGCTAGGGATAAACCTCTGCCTCATGATCCTTTTCATCTCTTCCCATGTAGAGACCTCAAGAGCCCCACCAATCTCTCTGGCGGTCACGACTTGTTCCCACCACCTTAGGGCATAGTCATTGGACTCAGAGATTGCCAGCTTGACTCTGTTGGAGTTGGAGATGTTGTGTAAGTTGAAATTGAACTCACACTTCTTCTCCCAATCCATGTACTCATCAGGATTGTTGTGGCCATGAAACTGAGGAATCCGGATCTTGTATCCTCCAAGGTTCTCGACCATGTGGTCTGGATCATCTCGGTGCATTCTAGACCGGCGCCGACTTCCTAAAGAGGAATGGCCACTGTTATAGTATAGGTTGGCTTGATCATCAGCCATCCTCTTTGACGCCATAGGGTCATCTCTAAGCTCTTCTTCAGATATATGGATAGGACCTCTTGTCTCCTTGCGTTTCCCTGCCCTGATCTGTTCCCTCCGGTCAAACTCATCCATCATAAGCTTTTTGATTTGCTCAAGGACGGATTCACTGAGGCTTCTGTTGGACTCCTCTTCATCTTCCTTCCCATCCGCCATAGTACCTGAAACAACAGGAAAGAACTCGGCAGTTAAAAGTTCAAAGGAAAAGATCAAGAAATAATTTTAGAAATTATGTAAACAATTTCTAAAAATATGGGAAAAATAGTAGATGGATAGATCTATGTGAGAGTGATCAGGATTAATTATGAAAATAGTTTTAAAATTGTGCAAATAATTAAACCAATTTCCAGTAACAAAATTCGCCAGATCTAGAAGATGAACAGCCACAAATTATATGATGAACCAAAACGAAATTAAAACAATAAAAGGAGAAAGTACTTAGCTTCAAAGTGGCTCTGATACCACTTGATAGACCCCTGATTATAGATCGGCACTTTGAAGCAAGTTTGAATGATGGAGTGATGAAGGATGGATTGATGGAGTGATGGAGTGGACTTGGGCGAGATGATGGATTGAAGGGGGATGATCGATTGGCTATAACAAGAGATCTGTGAAAGGATCTCTCAACACCAAACTTGTTGATCTCAAGGATATTACACACCAAGAGATGGACAAGACTCTTGTTGATATCCAGGATATTATCCACCAAGAGATGGACAAGGAATAGATCTCTCAAAGATATGACTCACTTCAAGAAAACTATAAGATCTTAGATATTACTCACTAAGAGGTTTGAATGAACAAACAAAAGTATTTTTGATTAAAAGATTGATTGCCTATTAGGATTTTCGTCCAGCACAATATAAAGGAAAAGGGAAGAAGAAGGAAGAAGAGATGAGTCAATGGAACAGGCTCCATGACCATCTCGGAAATTACAAAAACAATAAAGAGAGTTTCTCATGCATTGGGCGGCCAGATATTCAAACTAAAAAGGCCTGGGCCGGACCCAACATCATGAGACAAAGCAGAGATGTGAAAGTGGGTCTTAGGCCTCATTAAAAACCTACCAAGGAAAACCCAAAGGGACAAAACCTTGGCAGGGAAAAAGAGCACACTAAGATCCACTTGCTTCTTTATCCCAAGTGTTGGGCTGTTAAACAAACCATAGTGGAATGCTTAAGCTCATGATCTTGCCGACTCAAACGGCTAAGTACTCTTCCAATGCCTTGGTTGAGCAACTTAGTTTGGGACCTTGTAACTTGGCGAGTTGGTATGGTCAGTGCTTCCTCTGGTACAAGCTGCTCCTCTGCTTCAAGCTCTCCAGCTGCTTCCTGGTCCAAGTCTTTAGCAACCTCCTCCATGATCATATCAGTTTGCCAAGTGAAGACCCCATTGACCACCTTGATGAGTTTGATAGGCTTTGTGATTTGACAAAGATCAATGGTGTCTCTGAAGATGCCATCAAGCTGAGACTCTTTCCTATGTCTCTAGCTGACAAAGCTCACCAATGGGAGAAGAGCTTGCCCCATGGCACAATCACCACTTGGGATGAATGCAAGAAGGCCTTTCTTGCTAAGTTTTTCTCCACCGGTCGCACAGCCAAGCTTAGAGGAGAGATATCCAGCTTCATCCAGCGAAACAATGAGACATTCGCAGAGGCTTGGGAGAGGTTCAAAGGGCTACACAAGTCAGTGCCCACACCATGGATTCAACAATGAATCATCTCTCTACTCTTTATAGAGGATGCTTGCCTAGGTATAGGGAGATGCTAGACACAGCTAGCAATGGGAACTTCCTCAACCAGGATGTAGATGATGGCTGGCAACTTGTGGAGAACATAGCTAACTCAAATGGAAGCTATGGAGAAGAGTATGATCGCACCAACCGGAGCTCGACCCACCACTCGATCGAGTCAGACGAAAAGTTGAGAAAAGATGTTAAGGCATTGAATGAGAAGTTGGATAAGCTGATCCTAGCTCAGTCCACAATGAAGAAAGTCAACTTTGTGTCTGCTGAGGAGATGGAACCAGTCCAAGAAGGGGAGGATACACAATTTGCTGAGGTGTGCTACATGAGCAATGGGCAAGGAGGTTACAACAAAGGATACTATAACTACAAGTCCAACCCTCATGTCATACCGCAACACTGATGTTGCTAACCCTCAGGACCAAGTCTATCCTCAACAACAAGCAGCTCGATCGAGTCAAGCCACAACATGGGTATGGTCAAAAGAACAACTACCAAGGCCCCAAGGGACTTTTCCTGGTCAGCAAATGCACATACCACCTGGCTTTCCCCACCAACCACCCCAGCCTGCACCTACACCTGAGAATGAGACCAGCTCGACCACCTACTCGACCACCCGGTCGAGTTTCCCAACTCGACCGGCCAAGCTTCAACTCGATCGAGCTGAGAAGTCAACAGTCAAACCCGAAAAATGTTCCTTCCCCCTTGACTTTCCTTTGACCCTAAACCTAAATTCTCTTGTATTTAAAGGCTGAAAGCCACGAAAAAACTACCAATCTTTAGCTTAATTTTTTTTTAGCTTTCTTTTAATTTATGGTCTTTACTTTTTGCAAAATCCTAGCCTCTCTTTGTCTTCTTGAGCTCTTGCTCTTGAATCTTAGATCTTGGCTCTATCTTTTTGTATTTGCACTTGTTTATTTCAATAAAAGTTATTCAGTTTGTTTTCCTCTTTTATATTATGTCTTCTTCATTGCATTTGATTGTGTTTACATTCATGTGTAGTGAGTAGTTTCCTTTAGGGTCAAAGATGGGCTAGATTAGGGGATCTTTATTCTTAATCCTTCTTGCTTATGTTCTTAATCTAGAAATCTCTCTCTTTTGGACAAACCTTAAGGCTACATGACCACTACCCCTGGCTTGTATGTCCATAGGATAGGTTATGATTTTTTGAAAATATTTCTATGCAAAAGATGAAATGAAAAACTAAGAACAAAGAAAACAAGGTTAAATCATCTCTTGAACCCTCCCCCAAACTTAAATCACACAGTCCCTTGTGTGAGAAAAATTTAGTGAAAGATTCAAGAGGGCAAAACCAAGAAAAAACAAGAACAAATGCAAGAAAATATGAAATGGTATATACAAGGGTTGGTGTTTGGATACCTCAGTGTCCCCCAAAGAACTGGGAGACTAGGTCGTGGTCTGGAGATGGTAGACGGCCATCAGGAGCACTCCATGCAACTGGGGGTTGCGGCTCACTCGATCGAGCTTGTGGCTCTCCTCTTCTTCTTCTTCATCTTCAAAGTGTGTGTGGCTTCCTTGGCCTTGGTGGAGCATTGGCTAGCTCGTACTGTCCATAGGGGTTCCATCTACTCCGGGGAGGCTCCTGGTAAGGCATGGGATCGTATTCAAATCCCGGATCCTCGAACTGGGGCTCCTCCAGGTCAGCTCGACCGTCAGCTCGATCGAGTTGAGTTTCCTCTGTTTGGACTCGATCGAGTCCGGTGGTCGAGCTGGAGCGTCTGGCCTTGGAAGTCTTCCTCCTTCTCTGCGTGTTGTCTTCTCCTTCCCTTGGCTCGAAAGAAGAGGCTCTGTGAGGCTCTTGGGCAGGGAGCCTCCTTTGAGTGGTGAGGAGTGATCTACTCCTAGGGAAAGTGGGGCATGGGTGCCTTCTTCTTCTTGCTTGAAGAACCAGAAACTTTCTTCTCCAAACTTTTGATCTTGCTCACCATCTTGTCCATGGACTTTTGCATCTTTCCAATGGCTTTCCCTTGCCATTTGTTGAACTTTTGGAGAAGTCCAATCCTCTTGTGGGCAGCCACAACAGAGGGGTTCATCCTTGGAGCCTCATACTCCTCAAAGTAATAGCACTCAGGCTCACCCAAATCCGCACTTCCTGGACTGATCTTCAGCTTGACTCAGCTCGATCCTCAGCTCGATCGAGCTCGCTCTTCTTCTTGCAAATCGCTTCATGCCCAACCAAAGTGTACACAGGGGGTCTGAAGTCAATGTTGTACCCCTAGGACCGTGGTGAGCTCAGGGTTGGGCAGAGAAGCTTGGAGGTCCAGCCAATGGATGGGTGAACTTGAATTGGAATCTCCCATCCAACTCCTTGTGCTCAATGAGGAGGTTGGTCTTGCAAAACTTGATGTCCATCCAACCTGGTGGAGTAGACCTTCTCTTGTCCAGTTGAACTCCAGCTGCACAGAGATGGTGTGATGACCCCTCCAACACTAAGCTTCCTTCCTCTTTGATGCCTAGTGTTGTAAGCTGTGACCTTGTAGGCTTGGAGCTGCTCAAGGAGAGGCATGAGATTCCTGTGTGCGTGTGCCTCTGTCTCCTCTGATCTTCTTCCCATCCTTGTGCGTGAGATGATGGGCTTGATTCCCATGTCAAGGAGCTTCACTTCTCCCTCATTGATTGTCCAGTGGCTTTCCTTGCAAAGAAGGTGTTGCAAGAGCCTTGTGGACATATCTCAAGCACAGGCTCCTGATCTGAGCAGCCTTGGACCTTGAGGAAGAGTACCTCCTTCAGCGATTGTAGCCCATACTCTTTGGAGTTCTTTTCCTTGATGTTCCATGGTTACCTTCTCCATAGTGAACCCAAACAGTATCTCAAGCTGCCTAAAGGTCACCATCTTCTTCTCTCCCTTGCCAAGAACGTGTACCCCCAGCCTTGGTCCAACTCAGCTCGATCGAGCTCATCAAATGTGATGCTCATCGAGCCAAAAACTCACAAGTGAGCTCCTTGTAAGACTCCATGCGGTGAGAGAAGAACTTGGCCAATTGCATGTTCTTGAGCACCAACTCCACATCCTCAAAGATCCAAGGGCCTTCATGTGTCATCATGTGGGTACTTGGTCTCCACAAAGTCCATGGAGAAGAGAGCATTGTAGTGCTCTTGGTACATGGGGAGCTCATCCTCCTCCTCTTCCTCAGCCTCTTCCATTGGCTCATCTTGGTTCCCCTCTTGTCATCTTCATCAACCAATTGGTTCACCTCTTCTCCTTCCTCTTCACTCTCAGTCTCATCATCCTTCTTCATTTGGAGACCATTTCCCTCCTCTTGAACAAGGTTCACTCCAATCTCAAACTCCCCTTGCTCACTCTCACTACTAATGGGTCATTCCTCTTCTTGGTTCTCCTTTCTTCCCTCAATCTCTCACTCTCAGACTGTTCCTCAGAGTAGACATATCCTCTGCATCAGACTCTTCCATCCTCTGATCATCCTCTCCAAATCGGCTTGCATCTTAAGCCTTTCTCTCTTGCATTGCTTGATTCACCCTCAACCATTCTCCTCTGTGAAGCGCGGCTTCCCTCACTGTTTGTCATCTTGTTACACTGTTTCTTCACTAAAGTACCTGAAATGCATCAAAGATTACAAAGAATTAGAGTTGTAATGATCGGTTTGGTCAACTCGACACTCAGCTCGATCGAGTCAAAAAACTCGAGTGACAAACTCGATCGAGTTAGGTGAAAACAGAGTATAACCAAACCTAATTCAAGTATTAAGAGCTGGAAAGGATGCTAATCAATCAAATTGAACCAAGAACAACTAGTAAATGGAACAATGAGCAATTCTAGTGAAACACTAAGCATCTTAACCAATACCAAACTCAAATTCAATTTCAAGCACATGCAACAAGTTTAAAGGCAAAACAGAGGTGAGGTGACAAATTCACAAGATTATAAGCAGAGGCGAAATATGAGGCAATTACTCAAGAACAAGTCCACAAGGGACACATGCAATCAAAAATCAAAGAGAAACAAGCAATATGAAATCGAGATGGAGAATCAAGGGTTTTAGGGTTCATACCTTGCTTGAATGATGAATTGAAGACAGTAAGCTAGAACCCAAACAAAAGATGAAGCACAAGAGAAATCGCAAAAACTTAAGAGAGAAAAGAGGAAATTCGAAATTTTCTTGTGGTGAGAGAGAGAGAGAGAGATTTCAGAAATTTTAAGTGTGGGAGTGGAGAAGTGGATTCGATCGAGTTATGGGGAAGAGGGAGTGTTTGAGATGTGTGGTTGAGATTAAAAGATGAAATAAAGAGGGAACAAGAAGCTAGGGATTCTCTGATCAAATTAGGGTAGTGGGGGACCAAAATCAGCTTGTGGGACCCACTCCCTTGACCAAGAAAACGGTTATGAATTTGAAATTCAAAAACTTACCTGGTCGAGTTGGGAACTCGATCGAGTTGCCCTGTTTCTAGCTCGATCGAGCTATCGGTCGAGCTGGCTCCTTGACACCTAAACTTAACTTATTGAAAGGTTAAAACATAAAGATAGATAGAAATTGCATAAATAGAATATGTACAAGGATAAACATGGGACTTCCTCCCAAGTGAGCTTGTTTAAGGTCCCATAGCTTGACCTTTACCTTCTTAGGCATTGGTTGAGCTAGTCCCACCATCAAGGGTGATAGTGAGGACTTGAGACAGAAGCTCCTTTAGCTTGGTTGGGTCCCTGGACTGTTCTGAAGTCACCAAGGCCTTGGCTCTAGAGAATGGCCTTGATCTCCCCTTGTACCTTATCTTGTACTCAATCTTCCCATTTTCAAACTTGGTGGGGAACAAAGTCATTGTGAGCTGAGATGGCTTGACTGAAGGGGCCTGAGCTGGTGGATCCTTTCTTTTATCCCTGGTCTTGCCTTAGAGGCTGCATCCTCCCCTTCTTTTAGAGCCCTTCCTAGTGGCTCATCAAACAAAGCTTGAAGGCTCTCTTCATCAAGCACACAAGGGGCTTGAACAAGTCGATCAGCTCTTGGCCTATCAGATCGTGGTTTCTCAACTCTAGCCCTCTCAAGACGTGGCTTCTCAATCCTTGGTCCTCTCTCATCCTTATCCTTCCCAACTCTTGGTTCCTTGTCAACCCTTTCCTTCACAACCTTTGTAGCTCCATGACTCTTAGAACTGAGATTGGTACTGTCAATTGTGGCACAAAAGTCTGAACCTCTAGGCTGCAAGCGATATGACACCAAACTATTCACCTTGTGAAGGATCACTTCTTGCTTGTGAAAGTCTATTGAAGCGCCAACTGTACTAAGGAAAGGGGTTCCCAATAACAGAGGCAAATCCTTCTCTTCTTCCATTTCCATCACAGTGAGATCAGTTTGGATGATGCATTCTCCAATTTTCAAGTGATAGTTCTTGAACACTCCAAGAGGAGACTTAGAAGTTGCATCTCCAAACATGATTGAAGTAGTAGGGCGCTGCAAGGCTCCAGCAATGCCTAGCTTCTCTGCCATGGAGAGAGAGATCAGATTGATGCTTGCTCCAGAATCCACTAAGGCATTGTCAATCTCAAGATGCCCAAGTGTGCAAGGGAGAGTGAATTTCCCTTGATCCTTGACCTTTGGTAGGAAGGTGGGTGAAGTAAGCAGGTTGAACTGATGAGTAGACTCTTGTAGGACCTCTGAAACTTTATCACTGTTGGCTAGAACATCCTTGACCATTTGCATTTGATCAAATGCCTCACTCATGCTATCCATAGGAGGCAACTCAATTCCAATCCCACTGAGATCTCTTCTGAACTTGTGAATCACTTCCTTGTGACCTTGACTAAGTAGGCGAGACGAGGAAGCGGCAACCGGTTGTAAGGATCAAGCAAAACAGGCTGTCGGACAGAAGAGGTCGGACTCGATCGAGCTAGAGTTGGACTCGATCGAGCTGCCGATCGAGCTTGTCGTGCGAGCTCAACTGGTGAAGTGTGAATGGCCACAGTAGGTGCCTGCACTTCTGGTTGATCAATCTGGACTCCAGGAGCCTCAGCAGCAACAATCTCTTCATCATTCAGCAGTAAACAAAAATCTTCAATGACCCTTTCTTGATCCTCTTCTTCAACAAGTCCTTCTTGAGTGAAGATGACCTTGCACTGTTCCTTGGGGTTCTGAATAGCTTTACCAGGTAGTTGTCCTTGCTTTGTAGCAGCAGCAACAGAAGAAGCATGATTCTCCAGAGAGTAAACCCTTGTGTTGAGGTTCTCGATCTTAGAGTTTATTTCAGCTAGCTTCTTGCTTGTGTCCACTACCCCATCAGCTTGCCCTTGAAGTAGTTGCTTTAGCATTGCCTTGAGCTCATTCTCTTGTGAAGGTGCAGGCTGGGGCGGTTGGTGGGGGAAGCCTGGTGGGATATTCATTTGTTGTCCAGGGAAAGTGCCTTGTGGTCCTTGGTAATTGTTCTTTTGACCATACCCATGTTGTGGCACCTGACTCGATCGAGCTGCTTGTTGTTGAGGATATACTTGGTCCTGAGGGTTAGCAACATCAGTGTTGCGGTATGACATGGCAGGGTTGGACTTGTAATTATAGTATCCTTTGTTGTAACCTCCTTGCCCATTGCTCATGTAGCACACCTCAGCAAATTGTGTATCCTCCCCTTCTTGGACTGGTTCCATCTCCTCAGCAGACACAAAGTTGACTTTCTTCATTGTGGACTGAGCTAGGATCAGCTTATCCAACTTCTCATTCAATGCCTTAACATCTTTTCTCAACTTTTCGTCTGACTCGATCGAGTGGTGGGTCGAGCTCCGATTGGTGCGATCATACTCTTCTCCATAGCTTCCATTTGAGTTAGCTATGTTCTCCACAAGTTGCCAGCCATCATCTACATCCTGGTTGAGGAAGTTCCCATTGCTAGCTGTGTCTAGCATCTCCCTATACCTAGGCAAGCATCCTCTATAAAGAGTGGAGAGTAGTGATTCATTGTTGAATCCATGGTGTGGGCACTGACTTGTGTAGCCTTTGAACCTCTCCCAAGCCTCTGCGAATGTCTCATTGTTTCGCTGGATGAAGCTGGATATCTCTCCTCTAAGCTTGGCTGTGCGACCGGTGGAGAAAAACTTAGCAAGAAAGGCCTTCTTGCATTCATCCCAAGTGGTGATTGTGCCATGGGGCAAGCTCTTCTCCCATTGGTGAGCTTTGTCAGCTAGAGACATAGGAAAGAGTCTCAGCTTGATGGCATCTTCAGAGACACCATTGATCTTTGTCAAATCACAAAGCCTATCAAACTCATCAAGGTGGTCAATGGGGTCTTCACTTGGCAATCCATGGAACATCTTGTTCTGGACAAGGTTGATCATTCCCAGCTTGATCTCAAAGTTGTGGTTCTGCACTGGTGGTGGAACAATCCCTTGTCTCTGTTGGTGGCGGTTTGGAGCATCTCCTTGACCAATCGGTCGAGTTTGCCTAGCTCGACCGAGTCCATTGCCCAAAGGGTTTCCATTCCCCTCTGGTACATCCATTGTATCAGCAACAAGCACCTCAGGTTCCTCTTGTACCCTCTGTGACCTCTGAACCCTCTTTCTACCCGTTGTAAAGTCTAGCTCGACCAAGTCCTCTGTAGACCGACTCGATCGAGTTCGCATACACCTGCAAAAAGAGACAAAAACCCAGCAGTACAATAGAACAGGGGTGGTATAGCTTGATCGTCCAAGTGTGTTTGAAACTCAAATGCAACAAAAATATTCCCAAATCGGCAACGGCGCCAAATTGATGATAGGATTTGTGTGTGATGTGAAAAGATATGAAATGATGTGAGTGGAATGCAATCAGTGGTATATGATGGTGGTAAGATGCAAACACAAACACAGTCAACAATTCCCTTTAACCATGATAGTTGATGTAGTACAAAGGGTTATCAATCCAAAATGGGAAACTTGTCACTCTATGAGAATATGAAACAACCAGAAAGTCAAGCAAGCAGTTATAGATTTGAAGTAACACTAACAACCTAAATGAAAAGAAATGCAATGCAAAAGTAAACAAAGCAGTAACAACAGCTCGACCAAGACTCGAGTCGAGTAGGCAAAGTACCAGCTCGATCGAGTTTAGGGACGAGTTGAGACAAAAAAGCTAAAGGTGACGACTTTAACAAGATAAAGAGAGAATTAGGGTTCAAGACAGGGTTTTGCAATCAAAGGAATCTACACTTAATCAATCTAGCTCTTAAAACTCCTTGTATCAAGGCTTCTCTTGATATTGGGCTTCTAAGCCAACCCTTTCCCAAGGTGAGGCTATCAACCAAGGAATGATCTCAGAAACAGGGGGTTAGCCAGTGAGAATCAAACCTTGGAGGCTATAGGATCATTGCCCAAACTAATCCATCCAACCCCTTAGACCTCTATTGTCTAGAGCAAGAGATATTGGAGCTCTTAGTGGATCTTTTCCAGCGAATGCCATCACTTTCGTGTGGGGAGTCGCCTAAGGACTTACAAGCCAGGGGTAGTGGTCATGTAGCCTTAAGATCTATCCAAAAGAGAGAGAATCTAGATTAAGACCATAAGCTAGAAGGATTAAGCATATGAAACCTCTAATCTATCCCATCTCAAACCCTAATGGGTAACTACTCACTACACATGAATGTAAACACAAGCAAATGCAATAAAAGAGACATCATAAGAAAGAGGAGATGAAATTAAACAACTTTTATTGAAATAAGCAAGTGCAAATACAAAGAAGATTATCCAGGATCTAGGATTCAAGAAGCAAGAGCTTCAAGAACACAAAGATGGGATTAGGTCTCTAAAAAGTAAAAGACAATAAATTAAAAGAAACTAAAACAAAATAATCTAAAGCTTGGTGGTTTTTTCGTGGCTTAGAGCCTTTAAATACAAAGAGGATTAGGTTTAGGGTCAAAGGAAAGTCAAGGGGGAAGCAACATTTTTCGGGTTTGACTTTGACTTCTCAGCTCGATCGAGTTGAAGCTTGGCCGGTCGAGTTGAGGAACTCGACCGGTTGGTCGAGTAGACGGTCGAGCTGGTCTTCAAGATGGCTTCTCCCTTCTTCCTTTGCGTATCCAGTTGAGCTGCTTCCATGTGCCAAGTCCCTCCATGCTCCTTATGTCCCATATGCTCCAGAATGCTCCAAAAGACCTATTTCAAAGGACCAAACATGCATATGTATGCAAATGCAACCTAAAACTAACATGAATGCATAAGAAGAGAAAAGGAACAAGATATGATGCAAATGGAAGCTAAAACTATGCAAAAGATGCATAAAAGATGTGCTAAAACTATGTAAAATGCAAGTACATCACAAAGCAAGGCCACTTTCTTGAGAGATCCCTGTTACTAAACCACCATCAAAAGAGACCCTCTTTGTCTCTTAACCCATAAACCCTTGAAACCAAATGAGTTGATTGATCTTGCATGTTTTTGGTTCACTGTTTTTGCTTAATGAATGTTAAAGGGATTTGCTGATTTGAATGCATTGTTTGAGTGACTGTGAAGTGGGATTGATGTTGATAAGCATGGTTAAAATCTTAATGAATATCTCTCACCTTGTTGCATTCTAGAATCTCTAAGTTGGACATTTAGCAAATCGCTTTTGAGGACATGTTTTTAAGTGTTGAATCAACTTGTTTTCAAACCTCATCTCTTTCTTGTTCTATTTGTTTGCTTGAGGGCAAGCAAAGGTCAAGTTTGGGGGTGTTGATGTACTTGCATTTTGCATAGTTTTAGTACATCTTTTATGCATCTTTTGCATAGTTTTAGCATCCATTAGCATCATATCTTGTTCCTTTTCTCTTCTTATGCATTCATAGTAGTTTTAGGTTGCATTTGCATACATATGCATGTTTGATCCTTGAAATAGGTCTTTTGGAGCATTTGGAGCATTGGGACGTGAGGAGCAAGGAAGGACTTGGTGCATGGACGCAGCTCAACTGGATACGCAAAGGAGAAGAAGGAAGCCATCTTGAAGTCAGCTCGACCCATCCTACTCGACCGGCCAAGTTCAACTCGATCGAGCTGAGAAGTCAAACCCGAAAAATGTTGCTTCCCCCTTGACTTCCCTTTGACCCTAAACCTAATCCTCTTGTATTTAAAGGCTAAAAGCCACGAAAAAAAACAAGCTTTAGCTTATTTTTTGTTTTAGCTTTTCTTAATTGTATTTTTACTTTTTGCAACCTTAAGCCTCTCTTTGTGTTCTTGAGCTCTTGCTCTTGAACCTTAGATCTAGGCCTTATCTTTTTGTATTTGCACTTGCTTATTTCAATAAAAGTTCTTTAGTTTCATCCCTCTTTCATATTGATGTCTCTTTCATTCATTTGATTGTGTATTTCATTCATGTGTAGTGAGTAGTTTCCTTAGGGTAAGATGGGCTAGATTAGAGGATCTTATGCTTAATCTCTCTTGCTTATGTTCTTAATCTAGAAATCTCTCTCTTTTGGACAAACCTTAAGGCTACATGACCACTACCCTGGCTTGTATGAGTCTAGGCGATTTTCCACATGGAAGTGATGGAAATCGCTTGAAAAGGTCCACTAAGAGCTCCAATATGCTTGCTCTCGAAATGGAGTTTATAGGTGTTGGATGGGTTAGTTTGAGCAATGATCCTACTGCCTCTAAGGCTTGATTCTCACTGGCTAACCCCCTGTTTCTGAGATCTTGCCTTAGATGATAGCTTTCACCTTGGGAAAGGGTTAGCTAGGCTTGAGAAGCTCAATCAAGAGATAGCTTGTGTACAAGTGGTTAAGAGCAAGATTGATTAAGTATAGTCTTCCCCTAGTCGCAAGACCCTGTCTTAGACCCTATTCCTTTATCATTAAAGTTCGTATCTTTATCGCTTTTCCTCTGTTTTTACTCAACTCGACCCTCAACTCGATCGAGCTCAGTTACTCTGTTCTACTCGATCGAGTTTGGTCGAGCTGCTTTATTTACTGCTTTTTACATTGCATTTCATTTCATTAGGTTGTTAGAGTTACTTCCATCTTTACTGCTTGCTTGACTTTCTTGTGTTTGCATATTCTCATAGAGTAGCAACAACCCTTATGGATTGATAACCTCTTATGCTACATCGACTATGATGGTTAAGAGGAATTGATTGATTGTGATTGCACCATACCATCTCATCTTTATTCACCACTGTTTGCATTCCACCTCATATCATTTCATATCACCCACACACAAATCCTATCATCAGTATCTTGGTGGATACACTTGGTCTTGAGGGTTCTCCACATTGGTGCTCATATAAGACATGTTGGGGTTTGGTCGATAGCTTGGATTGTATCCCTTGATATTGTTTCCAATGTAGTTAACATCTTCTTCATTATCTTCATAAGAGAAATCTCCCATGCACTCTCTTGATGGGTCATCATCTC